TTTCTTATTTTTTACAAATTCGTCTATATTTAATTCACGAAAATTTTATTATAATCACATGTTATATTTAATATTTTATTTGGTTAAAAGCAATATATCAGTATGATTTGTGTATGGCAAATATTAAGTTTACTTTCGTCCAGAAATATAGCTTATTTAGTGGCTTTTAGAGTAAAAATACAAATAGAAACACAATTTACACTTCGGAATATTATTTAGAATATTTAAAGAATGTTGTAAAAAACTATTTAAATTTTTGTGTTTCATATAAGTACCCTAAGAATAATCCCATATGGCAAAAAAGATCATTGGACTATCACCTTCTACATTTAGCATAAGCAAAAATGTACACAAAGTGCAAACTCAGTTAAAATGTATGTATTACATACTTTTTATGCAAAAAATGTCTATACATATTATCCATATTTTATTAAATATTTACCCAATTAGGTGTTTGAATAATATGTAGAAAAATGATTAATGTTCAACATTGTCCACATCAAAACCTAATTAAACATAATTCGGATTTCGCTGACAGCATTGTACGATTCATTAGTGCCATGCAACTGTAAATTAAGTTTTATCTTTCAAATGCAAGTAATAATGCAAAATTGTGTTTCTCGATAAAACCAGGAACTGGATAGAGTATGTCACAAAGTGTTTATAACAAAAATTAATTTCGTTACTTCTTCGTACCTCTACAAAACCCTCAAGTCATATTCAAGTTTGGGTTTATTTTTGTACCATACATAAAAAAATATCCTATACTGCCAAGCTTAACAGCAAAACCTTTGATTGGATCATAGGGCAAAAATCCAAGTTATCTCTGGACCGCTAAAGTAAGTCTAACGTAAGTTCTACTCAACGAATGTAATCTAAATAATTAAATTTTTATGAATAATTATAATTATTAATAATTATCAATGTATCATAGTTTTTGTAATATTTGCAATAAAATCATTCACACCTACCAAAATTATATTGCAGTTGACGTCATCAATAAAGGTCTGATAAAAAAAGCTCAAGAATAATAAAGTTCACAAATACAAAAATTATATTTAGCGGATAATTATTTATTGAAACAATTTTGACATTCATGTAGAAATTTGTTACATTTAGTTTATTGGTTGTGTATTTTTTAAGATTTAATTGAACCATGAAAATTTTTGGGGCAATTCGACTACTCTGTGTAATTTACTCATTGAAAATTGAGTTGAATTAATTGGTTGAAAACCAATGTTTTTTTATATGGTATTGCGCATTAAGGCAATATTCTAAAACTAAGTTTAATTAATAGACTGAAATTTTGAATTGATAAAAAATTATTAATAAAAAGTTGCAATTTGCTAAAACCACTAGTGTATTAAGTAGTTATGTTCATCAGGTGCATGTTATGTTTTTTTCACAAAACTGAAATTTGATGAAACGTTTTTAATTTTGTTTTTTAACTTCCCGCAGGGTACGTAGTAATATGCTGAAAATCGAAAATGAAATTTTTTCCATATCTTCATGTTTCAGAGGTTTTTGAACATTCTGGCATACCTCAGAAAAAATGGATGTGCGTGTGTTTTGTATGTCCTATACATTTTTTTTATATCGAAAATAATTCAAATTTAAATTTTAATTCTGGCTAAAGCTCTAAAGCTCACTTAAATACTTCAAACGAATAATTTTAAAATTGTAATTCAGTTTATATAATTCTTATAACTATTAGGCAATGTAACAGTATTTATAATAATCTATTTGAAAACATTTAATATTTCTCGAACATTTCGTTACGGTACGGGAAGTTACAGCAATTTTCCTTAAGGCACGATGCCATACACAACTAGTTTTCAATAATATTAAGTATCACGTAAAATTAAGAAAATAACAAAAATTTTCTAATACCTTTGTAGCAATAATAATAATTAGCACACAGTTATTTTTAAAAATTCAAAAATTGGTTAAAAAATGATACGGATTTCTGTAAAAACAGATATTTTAATATATATATTTTTGAACCTAAAAATAAGTAATAATAAATAATAATATGACAACTTATTTAATTATTCCAATACCTTTCAACACCAAACGTTCCATCGGCTGCACGCTTTTTCAAGATTTTTTATTTTTTGAAAACATTCAAAAAGAGACGAAAATTTGAATGGAAGCAAACATTTTTCTCATACAAATTACTTATTTATTTGGTATTTGTTCCATATTTTATGTTTGTCAGGTCGATACCTTAAGCGCTTCAAAGAGAAAATGTTTAAATAAGATGAACTAACAATATTTAGATAATCGTATTTTATTTTAGTAGTGTGAAAAAATAAAAACTTATTTATTGATTGCCAAATGTTTATACGCACGTTATAAATTATTTTTTTATAAGATAATAAAAATAAATATTAAAAATAATAATAAAGGTGCTAAAAATAAAACAAATGGCAAAATTTGCAAATGGTTTAATTAAAAATATTGATGAACAGATTACACTGCGCGATAGTAAAATATTTTCTTGCGATATTATTATGGTTTTTAAGATGTTCCAGGACGCTGATTCCGAAAACAAAAACAGAAATTCGCTACCAGCTCTAGTTTTCGAGATATGCAATATGCCAGTTTTACCTCAAATTCTAAAAAAATACGATATATTTTATTTTATGCCTTCAAAAGTCTTTTTATATGATTTCCAAACGTAGAAAAGGTCTGACTGATTTTGTAATAAGCTCCAACAATTGTCAGCCATCATGTGGATGTCCCACTTTCCTTGATATCGTTCCTCCAAAGTCCTGATGTCGGATACTCTCGCCCTGCTTTTCGCTAATATCTCCACAATTTTCCAAAAACCGTTCTGAATAAGAGTGTGGGTAATGAATTCAAATTAATTACATCAAATATATCAGTTTTTAATGCTTCTCTTTTAACGTTTTTACTTGGTAAGCAGAAGATGTTGATGCTCTAGATTGTTCACCATTGGCATGGATGGGGTTCGTGTAGCTGACCAAAAGTAGACTTCAATGCCATTGGGGTTGTGGTATATGACTATTTGCTCCTATTGCCTGAATTTTTTACATTCATATTTACCACATAGACGAAACATAGCCGTCGTGGTAATTCTGAAGTTTTTTCTAAATAACAGGAGTGTTAAAATTATACCATTTCTTTTTTCTTCTGAATAATAACGTGAACATTCTACGCAATTTTTTCACCTAGATTGAAGAACCCATGTTTCGTCTTTATTGCGCAATTTAGTTTTAAAGTGGTCGAAATACGATGTCTTTATGCAATTTATAGATTTCTTTCTTTTTTATAGATTTAAAAAAAAAGTTCGAGGAAAAAAATAAATGTGATCTTAATCCGGTATTTCGTCGGAAATGTTCATCGGCAGAATTAAAATAACTATTTATTCAATTTATCACTTGTTAAATTGCTTTTTTAACTTTTTTTCCTTATTTACTATTTGTTGGTTATTGTTTAAACCTTTGACAGGGTAATGAATAGTGGGATGACTGCACCCCTTTTAACCCACCCAGGTGTAAGCTTCTATGGAGGTAATATAAAAAAATTGTTGAATCTAACTTAAAATTAACAATACATCTTATAAAACCATTATATAATGTATACTTAAAAATTATATTAAGGTCTCGTGAACTAAACAACAGTGCTCACAACCAAAAAAACTAACAACAAAAGAACATGCTTTTGTTATGGATTTTTAAACATTGTCAATTAATCAAGGCGATGACGGGATATATATCTCTTTCCCTCTACTTTAAACAATTGTTATTAAAAAATTTTGAACTTTACTTGTTCTTGAGATATCGATGGTAGACATTTTTACGGACCTTTAAGCCCCGCAATAAGAGCGCGGCTCATTGTTACAAACTTTAATAACTTTTTATAATTAAACCACATTTTGTAGATCATTAATAATGGGGGATATCGTTTAGACATTAGAACATCAATACTACCATCATGTATAGTTTTATCAAAATCGTCAACAAAAATCAACAACTAAAAATGAATCTTTACCAATAACTAAACAGCACTAGTTTCAATTGATACTTTCGTAACAGTCTTCAAATGCACAAAATTGCTTCGAAATTTTTTGCACGGTTCTGCTATTTTTAAGGAATCAACAGAATCCCTATCGAGTTTCATCAAAAACCGAATAAATGGTTGATATGGTACAACCGTTTTTGAAACAACGTCGACAAAAAATAAGACAAATTTGCACACACATACTTTTTTCAATTTTGGTGTTGAATATGATTCAGAATGCCTTGTAATACGAGAAAAGATAAAATAAGCAAATCGGATTTTCTGCAAAAACACCAACTTTTTTTCGAACAGTTAATGAACCTAATGGCACCATCAATGCTAAAGCAAAATTTGCTAATTTTTTGTATCGACCATATTTTATTCTGATCTAAGAATTGCACAAATGATCAAAAAGATACTGAAAATTTCTTCTCCAGTTTAATCATGTATCTGAAAATCAAACGTAATACATGAATGATGTAATTTTCAAATGATATAATCCTTGCTTTTAAACTTTCAAAATAAATAAACTTTTTTTTAATAATGTATCAACTTATACAAATCCGATTATGAAAAGTAACAAGACTTCTGGTCCGCCCCGTGTAACTGTGCAAAAACCACAGACGATAACTCGATGATTCATGTAAAATAATAAATTTTTGCCATTGTTCAGGAAGGTTTTTAACACTTTCTGTTATAAATAGTAGAGCAATTAGTACAGACAAATAATAATGAAAGCTCTTGAATTAGATTAGGAACGCGATTGAAATTCACACATCAAAAGTGGATCCGTAATCGTGATCTGACTTGATAATGCCAATAGTCGAATATCGAAAACAATAGCTTCCCCACTATTCAATCAAATCCAATAAAAACTAAGAAACACTGACATTGTTCATACATTTTCGACAGTAGCCTTCTGTAAGGAGCACTTGAAAAAACATCGTGGCAATTAAAACCTTAATTGTATCAAAATGTTCACCAAAGTTATTGTGATAGTTGTTCTCTGCATGGCGACAGTGAATTGCTTTGACGTTTGTGCTAATAACGATGACAAATGCGTTGAGAATAAAATTAAGGAATACGTTGACAATGCAGACCAAGAAGGTAGCATACCCCTGTTCGGTGGACTGAGCATTGATAAGGTCAGAGGAGTCGAACCTTTACCATCAAGCAACGATGAAAGTCTGGTCGGAAGGGTTCAGCGTTATATGCAGAGCCACGAATTGAAATTCCAAGTACCAGAAGAAAAGAAGGGCAGAAGTTTGACTGAAGGTAAGTGATACAAAAGTGGAAATATTTTACACTTTGAACAAACCTTTTTTTATATATGTAATATGTATAACAAAAAACAAAGTTGATTATAAAAACATTTAAAATGAACTAGTTTCAAAATTACTTTTCAAAACTTTGATACTAACACAATAATAAATCTTCAAAAAAAAAGATTTAATATTAAGAATCAAGTAAATTATAATAGCAATCAGAATATGCTTATAAAGGCCGTTCCTACCTTGAATGCAATGCATGCAAAAAATGCGGGCGCACGCCTTAGGGGGCGCCTAAACGAGGTTTGGATATAAAATTAATAATATAGTTTTTTCAATATCATTCAGAAAATATATAACTTATTTGCATCTTTTACTTATCTTGGGCAATATTTTTTAAAAGCTTAAAAAATTGGCATGCGGGCGTCAGGACCGCCCCTGCTTATAATGATCATTTTATTAGTATACATAAAACAAACAAACAGATAATAAAATGAAGTCCACAAAAAAGATGTCTGTATCGGATATGCGGCATATGATTTCTACGTAGTTTTTACCACTGAACACAAATCTAAACTTAAAATTACGAGTTAAATAGTAAAAAATCGTAAAAATGACAAAATCTCCGACCTATTAACTCTTCTATATAATAATTAGAATCTTATAATTCCTGGCCATTTTTACCTTAAATGACTATTTAGTATTCACTTAAAAGATCTATTAAGTGTTTTTTTGCGAATTACAGCACTAATTTCCTAAGATTTTTTTTGTGGATCTGTGTTATTACTAAATTCTAAAAATGTGGCAAAAATTTGAACCACAATATAAGACGAAAATTTTTTATTTCATATTCTTCATGAAACTCTCTCAATATGATATAGATGAATATGATCAGAAAAATATTTCAGAATCAAATATATTTGAACTTTTCACTTCTACTTGATCAAATTAAATCGATAAAAATGGCAAACTAATTGGGCAAACAATACGCAAAATGCCTAAATTACAATAATTTGCATAATATCTAACAGCTTTACATTTGCATTTCAATATTTTATCATTGGTTAAAATTTGATAAAGTTTTTAGGTATTTTATTTAGCACCAATTTCCAGGTAAAACTAACAAATTTTGAGTAAAACTTAGATGCAGGACTCTATGTATATTTCTATATATGTATGTATATATAGAGATATATGTATGGCTATTTTGGCTTGTTTGATCTTCATTCACGGCATGATCAGGCACATCATCGTGTAGGTTATTTGTGATCGATTTCAGTTCATGAATGTAGGTCTCCACAAAATTACGAATTTGCACAAACTGACTTTGTAAATACACACCTTATGTGGTTTACTTAAATCCAGCACACTTACAAACAATGCGTCTGAAAATATTCCACTACTGGATTAACATACGAAGACAAATCAATGCGTACTAAATACAATGGAAAATCAATACAACATAAGATTTCAGAGAACATTTTGTGATCGACATATGATTCTTAGGAGGCATCTTGATGACTGTCAAATTAGTGTTTTTGACTTTTATATTTGAACCCATTTCTGCAATGCCCACAAGAGTTACTTTTATTTGGAAACATATTTTTGATCGATATTTACAAGTAAAATTGGTTATCACTGGATGGATTTGAACTCGAAACCTTGCTGTTGCAAGATTGATATGAGAAAATACTATACTTGAGTTCATAAGCAATATAATCTAATAGAGAAGGCTTTCTTATATCAATTTTAAAACTAAAATGTAACAAAAACAAAGCCCAATATTTATACAAAAAGTTTACTTTGTAGTGCAATGGATCATCTTCTTGCAACTTAATTAGTTGAAGGCAGTATCTATGTCACTTATCTTAAAAAACATGAAAATTCCCTATTATGCTATTTAAGTTCTCTTTACAATGTAATGTACAATATCTAAGATCTTGGAACTTTCGACCAATTACATAACTCACGCTAAATTTTTCTAGTTAATAGATTATTTTTCCTTTTCTTTGTTATATATTTTATTCCTATAAAATTTTTGGTCGTACTGGGTATGTTTAAATAGAATACCAATCCATTGACATTGGCGTCCGGGTATAAACTATAAAGATTTATTCACTTGGAATATATTAATAAAATTTGATTGATAATATTGCATTGCTTTGTTATTCAATAAAGTATATATTATCAGTAAAACGCAGTTCCAGATAAAAACAATACTGAAATATATTATCTAATAAAGCAGAATATAACATAGAACATATAAAGCCATATCAAATATTTCATGTACGCTTGTTCAACTCTGGAGAGTTTCATATAAAATGCATTAATTTCAATCAAATTTAAATATAAAGATTTAGAATCTTTATATTTAAATATGAAGATTTAGCAGAATATAACATAAGTAATGAATTATATTGATTTTTTTTCACTAAAATTTATTGCATAGATAGCGAGATGGTGTAATAGTTAAGAACGTGGGCTAGCGCAAACTAGTTCTGGATGCGATCCCAACTCAGACAAGCTCGATATCAAACAGTGTGATATTAAATTTCCGCCTGAGGTTATAGATCTCTCTAAGAGCATAATTTGAAGTAAAAATCGCCTTTTGTAGACAAAACACATACAAGCAACAAATATATATATATATATATATATATATATATATATATATATATATATATATATATATATATAAGAAAAGTGGTTAGCCGCTGGGTTGTCGACTCTTGCAAAATATTATGTATAAATACTACGATACATCTTATGCATCATGTAGTAGACGTCGTCAAAAAAATATTCCATAGTAATTCTGTTTTACACATTGTTTCTCTAAACCTTTTGTTTTAATGAAATAAGCCAAAGTTTGTGTTAATCCAATGAAAGTATATACAAAATTTTTGTACCTAAACCTAAAATTTCACTACAACGACGTGCACTATAGTAGATGGATTCATCTCTGCAAATAAGTTTCGAATTTTTTCAAGAAAATAGTCCGCAAATGGCATGCATTGTTAGGCCCATCCCCCTTTAGGGATACGTAGTATTTTTGGTACCTACAAAAATCGTATTTTTTTTTAAATCCAAGTAGATCTAGAAATCTCACTAGATATTTCGTGATTTTTAATCAAAAACTTTTTCAGGGCTTTCAATCATCATCCCCCTTTAGTGATACGTAGTAGTTTTCGTACCTACATCGTATTTTTTTTTTTGAAATCTAGGTAGATCTAGAAATCGCACTAGATCCTACTTCCTCCATGTGTTATTTCGTAATTTTTAATCAAAAATTTTCTCACAGCTTTGGTACCTACAAAAATCGTATATTTTTTTTTTTTTTTGAAATCTGGGTAAATAATAAATAATTGCACGTAATCTCACTAGATCCTCCATTCCCCATGTGATATTTTGTGATTTTTAATATAAAAATTTCTCAGAGCGTTCAACCATTATCCCCCTTTAGTGATACGTATTATTTTTGTACCTACAAAAATCGTATTTTTTCGAAATCTAGGTAAATAATAAATAATTGCACGTAATCTCATTAGATCCTCCTTTTCCCATGCTGTATTTCGTGATTTTTAATCAAAAATTTTTTCAGAGCTTTCAATCATCGTATTCAAAATCGTATTTTTTCGAAATCTAGGTAAATAATAAATAATTGCACGTAATCTCATTAGATCCTCCTTTTCCCATGCTAAATTTCGTGATTTTTAATCAAAAACTTTCTCAGAGCTTTCAATCATCATCACCCTTTAGTGATACGTAGTATTTTTGGTACTTCCAAAAAACGTAATTTTATTTGGAAACCTTAGTAAATAATAGATACACTTAATATCTCACTAGATCTTCTTTCCCCCATGTGATATTTCGTGCTTTTTAATCAAAAATTTTCTCACAACTTTCAAGCCTCTCATGATTGTTAGACATCAACCCTCTTAGAAAATTAAATAAGAGAGCAACCGTCGATAGGCCCGGCCAATAAATTAACAATTTACAAAAAAATATTTAAATCGTCTTCTCAACAATCTTATTGATTATAAAATGCATCGCATTTTTTTTAAATTTGTTGAATATCGACAATGTCGCAGTATTTTACCTTTTGAACTAAAATTTCGCAAATTTTATGTTCAATCTGAAGCCCTTTGTATAATTACGATTTTATGCATAATTCCACGAATTGTTGTAAGATAGGAACAGTTTTCAATAAAATATAAACGTATAACAAAAACCAATGAAAAATTCGGTCCAATAACATTATAGAGACATATTCTGACGTAAAACAGGCCAATGTTATAACAAAGCTACGTAGCGTAGCGCTTCTCATATAAAGAAGTACTGAAAACTGTCAAAAAGATATGTAGTTGCTGTGCGGTCAGACGTTTTATACATAAACTTCATTCACAAGTTATTAATGATTGTGTGTTTGTCGTTTGTGCGATTTTTAGGTTCGATTTTCTATCTAAAACGCCTGACTGCACAGCGACCATATCGCATTTTGACAGTATTTAGTACAATTTAGTATAAAACTGCTATGTAACAAAGCCTTGCCATAATATTGGTCTATTTTACAGTAGAATCGGCCCTATAATCTCATATTACATGCATGTATATTAATGTAATTTACGCCAATTTCAAACTTCCAACTTTATTTCAAATATTTTTTATAAATAAGATCCAAATAAACGAAATATAATTCTTAAAAACCGTGTACGTAATGTCTATTTAAATCGCGAATTTCAATTTTTATTTGAAAACAAACGGTTTGATAATTTTTATACTGTTTAAGAAAAACCGTGTAGAAAAAAAGTTCACAACTTGAATAACAAAATGTGCATATAAGTAAATATCGCGTAAATTGCTTTGCATAATACTTCAGAAGAAAAATTGTACAGAAATTGTTATGTGATTGGAATACCATTTTCAGAACATTTATTAATTAAATTCATGTAACAAATGCACATTTTCCGTATATTATTGAAGAAATCGTTCTTTGTTTGTATCGTGCAT